AACTAGACAAGGCTGTTTTCAAGAACAAGTGATTCTGCGTTCCCCACACCTCTATTATCTTTGCTCCCTGCCCCCATCAAAGATTCAGAATGATTGAAACTTCACAGTAGAGCCACTATTTGGGGGACAAAATTTCCTCTGTATTTAGTACAGTGTGGCAAAGTATTTAATGAATGTTTCTTGGGTTTATAACAAATACACTGACTCAAAACAATACAAGAAGGGGCACCTGGGTGACTCAGTTGGTTAGGCATCTGCCTTTGGCTCAGATCATGATCTCAGGGTCCTAGGATTGAGTCCTGCATTGGGCTCCCTGCCCAACGGGGAGCCTCCCTCTCCCTCTCCCTCTGCCCCTCCCCCCTCCTACTCTCTCACTCTCTCAGATAAATAAAATCTTAAAAAAAAAAAATACAAGGAAACAAAGCCTGGAAAATTGTTCAGTATTATGTTCAGGAGATAAGTACAGTGAAATAGCATTTTAAAAATAGTACTTGTAAAAATTATTATATGAATATAATTACTTATTTTTTAAAACTTGTTTAAAGAGTACCAGTGGAGTTCTTTTGGTCTGTAAAGAAAGACTAAACATCATTAGCTTTACAGTTGTAAACGTTAACGAAACCTGAAGGATTAGATACATTGGGTTAGTATATTGCATTGCTGCTCAAAGAAAAACTTTTTAAGAAAGTCACTGTAAAACCACTAGCTTAAAAACAAAAAATTGGTCTAGAAAGCTTTGTTTAGCTCCCACATGTGTGAAACCGCAAATCTCTATGATCAACACATAATAGGCTAAATAATGTCTCTAAAGCTAATTGCTAATGAGCAATAGGAGATAACCTAGTAAGGAAGAGTAAAAGAGCAAGGCAGACAGGAAGAATGGACCAAGCTGAAGTACTGACTTATGGAAAAACTTGATATGCTCAGGGTCATGGTCACACCATCTCTGAGCTCAGAAGAGCATACATGAATTACTACCAACTTCTTTAACTGCCAATTCTGCCCATCTCCAAGCTCTCTGGACTTCTTATGTGCCAATGACAAAGGCCAGACTTACTGTGAATGCCTTTTTTCTTCTTCCTCTTTTTTCCTATTCATATTTTATTAGATGGTTCCTAAATCAAAGTAGTAGGAATATAGGTTATAGGCTACTAGGCTGATGGGAAAGAAGTGGCCAATTTACTTCACGTCAATCTAACTCAACAGCATGTGCTATTCAAAACAGTCAAATGTAAATAACTTTCAGCATACTTTGATATCTCTTTTGAAATTGTAGCTTAAAGTTAGGTGGATAGTGATACTGAGGACTGGGCTAGACCTAACTCAGGTGTTCAATAAAAAGTTATTGCTTACAGTTTCATAAAGTTTGGGGGGGAATAATTTTGCTAGTGCCATTGGATTTGTTACTATTACTCTTTCTCCTGTATTTTCTGTAAATTGGAGGTTGTCCCACTATTACAGATTCTAAATTTGTTCATTTGGTTCAGATGATGACCACAAAATGACTCCACTATACAAATGTATTCTCTTCACTATTAGATAAATAATCTGAGAAATGATATTTTGGTTCCAAATGCATACTCTGATTTCCCAGTAATCTGTCATCTAAAGGTTTTAAAGTCCATTGACGATCCTTGCCTGCATCAATTATTTTAGATTTGCATACTAATTATTTGCTAATTACATTATTTATTCTACATTTGCTAGCACCCTATTGTGAAGAAAAGGTTTTCCTCATTAACCAGGAGTGAACCACAATTTTCCTTTTCTTAAAAAAAAAAAAAAAAAAGGAGGGCAAAATACTATATTCCCTTTAATTGCTCATTTTCAGAGTGACTTGATGTAACTCATTTCCAATGATGGAAAATCATCCCCCACTCCTTCTCCCATCAAGTGTTACTCCAGGGTCATAGATTTTTTATCCAGTATTTACAATTAATTGTTGCCATTTTCCTTTTGATGTTAAAATTACCATGAATACATACATACATAAGAGGGTTAATTTATACAAAGTGTATTCCATAATAAATATGTATACCTTATATGAGGTAAAACTGACATCAAGTGTGCCCATTTAGTGGTGCAGTGTGATGAATGGTGACATATATATATGTTACATATATATATATATACAAAGCCTGGGTAAACACCACCTTAATCGAGATGTAGAATATTTCCATAACCCCCCAAAGTTCCCCATTTTCCTTTCCAGTCAATTCATGCTCTGCTCCCCTGCCCCAGCCAAGCATGGATTTGACTTCTATCCCTATAGATCAGTTTTGCCTGTTCTCCTGAGTCTTGTTGACTTACCTTTATTAGCCTAAGCACTTCCTCTGCATTCAGGCACAAAATGTCTGACTCATCCTGTACTTTCTCTGCCTCAGCCTGGAATCAGCCAATTCTCCAAAAAGTTTTGGATCTATTTAGTGAGAAATGGAATTTAGAAACCACGATCTGGGGGGCAAGTGTGCTCATTGCTCCTGAAGGTGACCAACCATCCTGGTTTGCCTCCGACAGTTCCAGTTTTAACACCGAAAAGGCAGCATCCTGGGAAATCCCTTGGGACAGTTTGTCACCCTAGTGCTTCTTGACCATTTCAGTGCACAGAACCAGGAAATTTATTTTTAGAATCACGTGCTCAAATTGATACTTATAATTTAAGTGTATTACAGGCTTTTTCTGAATTTCCTTGATTTTATATTTGTACCTCCTTTTCTCTTCTGCCTAAAAGTTATACATTATAGTATTACTTGTTATCCTATAATATATAGTTTCAAAACCACAGCAACAGTATCGCCATTAATTCTAAACCACTGAGAGAAGCTTAAGATTCCTTTGCAGTTCTTTTTCATCCTTAGCACATATCCCACCACAGATGTTGCCTGAGTACTATATTCAAAAGCCCTGGGGGAATAATAATTTTCTCTGGGTAACAACATTAGTTATGTTACCAATTTGACTTAAAGGTAAGTTTGTTTCAATTTGCTTTCAACGTTTACTTTGTTTCCTTCACTTACTTTTTGGCTATGTAAAACTTTAGAAGTTCAAAATCAGACTTCTTGCTTCTACTTCTTTCCCCTGCACCCTTTCCACAATCCTCTGTAGGTAACCGTTTTTGTTTCTAGGATATCCTTTCAATTTTTTTTCTTTTTTTTTAAGATTTTATTTTTTTTCGAGACAGAGAGAGAGAGCACGCGCGAGCACACGAGTACACACGAGTGGCGAGGGAGGGGCCAAGGGAGAGGCAGACTCCCCGACGAGCCGGAAGCCCAATGCAGGACTTGATCCCAGGACCCTGGGATCATGACCTGAGCTGAAGGCAGACACTTCACTGAGCCACCCAGGTGCCCTATCCTTCCAATTTTCCATATAACTTGGGACTCATTCCAAAGCAACTCATTTTTTTTTTTATGGCTGCATTTTATTCCATTGTATGGTTTTATCATGTGCAACCAGTTCCCTATTAATGGACATTCGGGTTATTTCCAAACTTTTGTTATGTTACGACAAATGACACTGCAACAAGTAACCTTGCCTACATGTTGTTTCTATTTGTGGAGGTGTATTTTCAGAATACGGTTTGGGTTAGAAGTAGAATTGCAAGATTTAAGAATAAATGCAAATGGCATTTTGGTACTCCATAGGTCTTCAGTCATTTTTCCATTGCCACCAAGAAATTTATGAGCACTATTTCTCCAGAGTTTTGTAATTTCAAAGTGTATTTCCATTATAAGTGAGGACAAACAGCCTTTTATGTTTGAGGACCAGTGCTATTCTTTCCCGTGAATTGTCTGTTCACGTTCTTGCCCAAAAATTCTCTTTGGATTTTGGTCTTTTCCCAGTTTTCAAGATTTCCTGTGCTGTAAGTTGCAAATATTTTCTCCATACTGATCTGACTTACTGGGAATATACCATGAACCCTTTGACCATCTGGAGAACACTTCAATCTTATCCTTATAAATCACCTCATTTCGGGACAGCTCCTTTAAGGATAAACACTTTTAGTAAAGCCGGATAAGGGAAGATCAATCAAAAGAGTTACCTGGCCCCTTGTAGTAAGTGTGAAAAACTGTTTCACGCTTGGCAGGTAACACCATCGTTCTTACGCAACGGTCTGGGGGACACAAAGTCTTGCGTAATGGAGCATATTCAAATTACAAAACGTATTTCATAAGGCTCATTAACAACTCACAGGGTTCGCCTTCCCCGCTTTTCCGAGAGTTTGCAAGGTGCCCCTAGAGCTGCTGACATAGGCACAACCCCCATCTGCTAGACAATAGCTCCTCCGTTTAGCCTCGGGATGTCAAGGTGGGGATGAACCAAGAAGCCGCGATGTTGCGTTTCAGAAGACAGAACACTGGTTTCTAAGCTTTCGAGCAACAAGGCTAAGCGAAACCTGAACTGACCCTACTCTCCACCCACGGCCTAGATCCTGAGGTTGCACCTGGCCCGCCAGCGCGCGGAAGCATCAGCGATGCACCCTGCACCACAAACCGGCCAATCACGGGCCGTCTGGCCCAGATTCCTCCGCCAGAGGCTCGCCGCAGCCGCAGGTGGCCCGGCGAGCGCGTTCGCCCCGTGCCGCCAATCGCGACCCCCGCCGCCCTTCCCGTGATGCCCCGCGGCTGACCTCCGACCTCGTCGCCCACCCCCCTCCTCGCGGCCCAATTCTCCCCCGCCCCCGCCGAGTTTGCAGGGCTCCAAATCTGCGGGGCGTGCTACCCAAGCGCAACTCCTCCCTTAGCGCCTGGAGGCTCCGGGCGAGTGCCGTCCCTTCGCCTCTACTCCCTGCAGCGGGGCCCAGGGACGGGCTGGTGGCTGCGTCCGCATCCGTGAGACGACTAGGTGAGTGGGTCGGACGCAAACATGGCGGGGCGGCGACGAGGGCGGGCGACGGCTGCGGCGCGTTAGGGCCGGGCTGCGCGGCGGGCGGGGCGGCGGGCGGGGCGGGGCGGGGCGGCGGGCGGAGCGGGAAGGGGGTGGGGCGTCGGGGCCTCGCGTCCTCCCTCAGCGCCATTTTGTGGCAGCGAGACCCGCAAATAAAGGGGAGCGACGGGGCTGCGGCGGTAGGAGGAGCGCGGGGGCCGGGGGTAGTGAGGTCTGGAGGTCTGGGCAGCGAGCGGGCAGCGCGGCCTTGGCCTATGTGACTGGGCGGCGCCGGCGCGGCCTCCGTCTGGAGAGGTAGGTGCGGGCCGCCGGCGGGAGCGGCCGCGAGGACCTCCGGGTCCCTAGGGCTGAGGCGCGGCCGGCCCGGGAAGGGGCGGGCAGAGCTCAGAGGGTGAGTCGGGCTCCCGGGCCCGCCGGCCTCCCGTTAGCTGCGCCTCTTTCCCGCCTGCGGGGACACTTCCGCCGTCCCGAGGCCATTTTGCCTCCATCCTCCGTCCCGGGGGCGAGGTGGGCGCTCCCGCGGGCCGGCGACACCGGGAGGCCGCCCCCTCGGTGCACGTCGTGTCCCCGCCTCTATGTCGCCTTCTCCCACCTCTCCTCTGGATCCCGAGGATTGGCGGCACTAACGAGTTCAGCAAGGGAAGGAAAGCCGTGTTGGTTGACCAAATTTCACGTCGCGCAGGTTATTACTGCAGCTGCATCCTCCTGTAGACTTCCATTTTTTAAATGATGGCATACATTCCGAGTAAAGAAAGAATCCTTTATTAATTCTGTAGGGGGAGGTTTTCGTGCAATTTTTAAGTCTCGTCTTGGGTCTCTGTAAGGTTATTTGATTTTTGAAAACCATATTTAGTTAGTAGAGGACACGGTGGAAAAGTCCAAGTTCTTGTTTTGATGAAGTCAATTTGATCTTAAAGGACTGTGTTACATTCCTCAGTAACTGTGTTTCTAAAGTAAAAAGACGGCTCTTTTGCCCTAGGTAGACGAGTATTTCCAAGAGTGTGTTTACAGTCTTGAGTTGTCCATCTAGTTTTGCATTTCTTAGAATTTAGTTAATTCCATTACTGAGGAAGATAAGTGGAAGTCACGGGTCTGTCACGAGTTCTCGTTTTTTAATTTTTTAAGTTCTGACCATGAAGTTTTCTATGATAGGTGCATCTATTGTTAACTTTCAAACCCCCATTAAGAAAAAAACTTATGTTGGAAAATCTTTTCAAGATACCTAATTTTATTTACTACTGTCGTTCATTAGCACCTGATGAGGCAAGTCGGGGAAAGAAATTGCAGTCCACCAGGTGGCATGTGATAAGGATGAAGTTAAATTTTAAGGGTTTGGGTGGGTGTATTTGGGGGGTTCTTTTATTTT